TGTTGTAAACGGAGTGTTTCGTTCTTGTATTCTGTGGCCTGCCTGACGAGCGCTTGTATCTCGTCATGGAATACTGCAACTGGCGAGCTGTGGTGCATGAATTTGAGAAAGTTTGAACTAATCAAACATCACATGTTAATTAATCTGTTGAGCTGTAAAGAAATTCTAGGTTTTTACTTTTTGTTTTTATAGATTTCGTCTCATCGTCATCTATAAGCTTTTTTTAAAATATGAAACTAAATTAAATCTCATTAATCACTTAATTAAATACTTAATTGGTATTTTGGTGGTTTTCATTTGCTTTGAAATTTATAATAATCAGGAAAATCTTTTTATATTTGTATATTTGGAAAATCAAATTCATCCATGAGAAGAAAAAAAGTAGTAACATACCAAAATAAATTTGTAAGGTGTATTAATAATAGTTTATACAAATATTTCATCTCTATTTTAAAATATTATAAATTAATTTGCAATATTTTTTTACATTACATGAAAACACAATACTTTCTTATAATTACTTTTGAAAATAATTCTAAGGCTTAGCAATTCTAATACTTGTTAATAAAATGGTTTACTTAATATTTGATTTTAGATAATATTAGAATATCATGTTGCAGTTTCTATCATCAAAAATAGTCTTTTTTTTAGTTATTAGATAATTTTATTATTTAATTATTAATTAAATACAACAATACTTATAAACATCATTATTTAACATCTTGATGCAATAAGAACATCTATTGAGTCAAAATTCTTAATTTAACTACTATTAAATAATACATTTGAATCTCTATCATAAACTAAAATTTCTAATATTAATACAACAATAATGGAATTTATCATTATCCACACAAAATCTAATTCTCCATCAAAAGACTTTGCTATTTTGTGAGCTTGATTTTATTTTATGCCTAAGATATTATCCAAAGTTAGTATAGATAATCTAATAAAGAATCTTTATAGTATGTATGTGTATATATATATATATATTATTAATTGAATATATTTAATCCATATCATTATAATTTATGTTTATATTTGATAGAGAGTCTAACCTACTTCTAATAGAATTTTATAGTCTTACATAACATTGAATTAATGCTATTAAATATACAACATTTTATTATACATTAGTTCTTTTTATCAAAAGTACTTAATTGTGGTGTTGCTTTGCATGTAAAAATATCTTGAATAATATTCATAGATTTTTTTTTATGTAATAAATTAAATATAGTTATTAATCAATAATAAATCTATTATGATTTTTGTTGTCTAATATATTATATAAATTGTGATGCAAATTATTATTCTATTGTGAAGTATAGTCACTTAAAACAATGCTAAATGCTTAAAGATCAATGTGGTATTAAGGAAATATAAGAGTTTATTTTTGTTTAATGTCACAAATTTTGTTAATTAATATTAATTAATTACAATAATAAAGTAAAGTACATTATATGTTGTATCTTTTTTTAGAATTTCTTCTATACAAGTAAAAGACCTACTTATATAGAATTAAAAATGAGCTAAAATGTAGCTTATATTGTGTGAAAAAAATATTATTTATTTTCCAATATACAATGCAATAGCTAATTATCATCAATATTATTTCAATTTTAAGTAATATTATATCAATTATTATGATTAACAAAAGATTAAACATAATTACAAATTCTTTAAAATTTTAACCAAAAAACTAGTATTTTTGAATAATATATGTTTTTGAATGTGAATGTGTTTTATTATTATCAATAACTCAACAAAGCAATATTGTAAGGTCCTTTTTAATAAGTCCAATCAAGACAAGGTTTTAAAGAAACAATATCCCTTATGCTCTATTATTATTAATTAGAGAATATTTAATTCAAATTGAATGTAACAAGCTTTATTGCTTTTTTATCTTTGAAATATTAAACACTATAATAACATAAAACAAGCCAATTTCTCAATTAAAAACCTTCATATTGTTTTTCTAACAATTTTTTTCTAACAAAATATACATTGGTAAGCTTCTTTAAAGGATCAAATATCTTTTTTGAATAAGTTTTGGTCACTATGTTCTATTTTATTGTAATCAGCTAACGAGTAACATTTGCAGACATTATTAATGTAATAAAGTCTTCTAATCATGTAGTCATATAAAATCTACTTAGTTAAAAAATTAAATTTTTACTAAGTAGGTTGATTATTCCAAAACTTATCTAGTATTAATATATATTTTTTAATATTATACATGATCTATATTTTTTTCATATTAAGGCTAGTAATGATAGAGAATTTATTTTCCAGGTTTGCAACAACTTTAGTTCACCATTGTTCCAATAGAATTTTGGATATTTCTTTTGGATTAATCTTTTTAAAGCACTTGAAATTTAGACTGCAATCAATATGCGCATAATATTAATTTTAAAAGTTAGAGAAGTACATTTTAATAAACTTAATAAATGATTAGACAAAAATATCTTATCCTATAGCTAATTTGCACAAAAGATTAAATTTTGCTAATCCAGAAAATAAATACAATGACCACATAATGACATAAATTATTTTCAAAAGCACTAGATAGACAATCCTTTTTACCACATAAACACTTTTGTGCCACACCTTCTTACATATACACCTCACAAAAAATAACTAGTTTAGTTTTAAATGAGATATTTGAAATTGATGTACATAAACAATATTAAAGCATACTGTTTTATATTTTATTATCCTAAAACAATTTATAAAGGTTTGCATGAATAAAAACAATTGAAGGTTGAGAAAATGTGGAGCCATAGAATACATTTAAAGAGGATGCAACAAAAATTGGTATTAAAGTAATAAATATAACAAGAATCATGATTCAAAATCAAAACTAATTTTTTGGGGTGTATGGCACATGAACTGTCCATGTAATAAAATAAAAAGAAATTATAACCCCTACTTGTTTTCATTATGATTAGGATAGACATCAATCTTTATTTTCTTTAATCTATGTAATAAATCACAGTTAATTTTTTTTTGTTACTTATGATTTAGAATTTTGTACTTTGATTTGGTTTGACTATTTTTAGTTTATAAAATACATATTTAGGTAAAACTATGTTTTAGACAATTTATTCATATTAAGATTTGGTTTCAGAATTGCATTAAACAAATTAAACCACCTCGATTCATACTTGCACTAGAATCTAATTGTAGGATTTTTATTTTTTTATTTAAAAAAAAAAAAGTAGTTTATAAATAAGACTATTAAAGACATAATCTTTGTTTAAAATTTACCGCAAAATAATTTTAATTGAAATATGATTCTTAATTATTATTTTTTTAAACTATATATTTATCAATGAACATATAGAGTAAAAAAAAATGTATTAAATGAAATATACACTTTATATAGATTTAAATAATAATATTTACAGATATAGGAAAGATTTGTTTTAACAGTATTGGTGTTTAATATATTGGTTTATGATAATATAACTTTGATGTTCATATTATAATATAAATATCATAATGTCAATTTAAAATTGTGAAGATGATATTTTTATAAAAGATTGCATGATAAATATTAACAAGTTTTTAATTTTATTTTTATTTTTTTGCATTAAACAAAACACTCTACATTATTTATGTTGTCATTTTTATTTCTATTCTAATTATTTTAAACATAAATATATTATTAATAGATTAAAATAGTTAGGTGATATTGTTGCCTATTGTTGCCTATTGTTCAACAAGGCTCCTACTTATGCCACTCTAAACAAATCATTTACATCCAATTATTTGCTCTTGTTGTGGTGTTGCATATTGTAGTCACCTTCCCTTGCAATCCAAATGTTATCAAGTTTTGGGTTACATCTAAAATCATTGCACTTCCATCCTTGCAATAAGATAAACTTTGTATTATTTATTCAACCTTTCCATAACTACTTTCTAATATTTATTTCTCCAATGTACTTTAGTTTGTGAAATACACATATTCCATATTTGCACATATTTTCATATATTAGAGTGTGTTGCTGATATTATGTTTATGACTATTATAAAAAATAAATTTAAATGTAAAAAACAGTTCTAAAATAGGCTTTTGCAACCATTCTGCATTATTGTGATTTTAAAATTTAATTGAATGTTGCTTTTGGATTTTAACACAAAATATGTAATTTAATTAAACATATATATATATATATATATATATTATAAATTGATCATTTTTGTTAATAAAAGATGTGCAAATGTATCTACAAATACAATTGTGTTGTGGATCTTTTTATATATTTTTTGCTTTCCTTTCATAAGAAAATAACATATGCAACAAATCTTTGCAGTGATGACACTTCAATTTATGTTGATTTTTTACTCTCAACTTAATATCAATATTTCAAATCAATATTAACAAAAAAAAAAAAAAAAAAAAAAAAAATCCAAATCTGGATGTTTCAAATTTATCAAAAAATTTCTCTACTTTTGGCAAAATTTCTATCCAGTTGAATGTAGATTTTGAGGTTTGGGTTTGAGATATATCTTTACAATTTGATATATTTAAAATTTAAACTCATATTCTTTGGAATATTTTACAGTAGAAATTTTGAATTGCAATATTTAGATTATGGCATTGCATACGATTTTTAGTTTTGTCAAAGATGAGTTCAAATCACAGTCGGTTGAAATTTGATCACATATTTAAAGACAAGAACATAAATTAAAAATCAGGTTTTCCATACTTACAATCTACACCTCATTTTGAAATTATGTTTGAATACTTGTGCATATTTTCTATATATATCTATATACATATATTAATATAAGCATACAAATAGTTTTTACCCTCATAGTAAATCTATTTAGGAATGCCATATTCAGAAGTTTCATTGAAGAAAGTTCTGAATATCAAAATCAATCCCTCAGGATTTTCAACTGATAGCTTTAATTCTTCTTAAACAATTTTTTTTCTTAGTATTAGTTGGCTTTCTTCTTCTTCTTCTTCTTCTTCTTTTTTTTTTTTTTTTTTTTTTTTTTTTGGATCAGGAAGCGTATTTGGGCCCAACAATGATCTCCATAGACTTATTAGAATTGTTGCAATGTAAAAAAATTTGAAGAAAACAACTAGTGAAGAATAGAATCCATTGTTGCCTCATTTGCTTGGGTCTTCAGACAAGCTAGGCTGCCTTTTCCACTTCTGCTTGCTATTGTGTATCCAATATTTCAATGTCTTCGGCTCAATGCCTGTAACAAAAAAATACACAAAAACGCGGTTTCAGAGTCCAATAATCGGTTAATTTTCCTGGATTTCCAGGGTGTGTGAGATTTGTCGGTGACATGTTCGGAGTTGACTTTTTGCGGGTGTCGGTGTGTCGGTAATGGTTCGACAACAGTTTACCTATGTACTGGCATGTAGCGTCGATGGTTTCCTTGCGTTGGCCAACGACAGTCCATCCAGCCTTCTCGGCAAACGCATTCAGCTTCTCCCGTTGCTCCAAGCTGATACGCGTTCTTGTCCTCTTCAATTTGTGGCTGACTCGCTCCAACGGCAGCTTCCTTGGCATGCCGAGATTGCAATTGCGAATGCCGCATGATTCCGAGATGATCAAAGTCGGCGAGCCTCCGATGGCATCTTCACGGAACTGGCGCCCCGGCGAAGGTGGAACCAGTAATGAGATGGCCCCATTCTCCACAGTGATCACGGGGCTCGCGTCCGTGGAGAAAGGCCCGCCTTCATGAGGACATGACTTCGATTTGTTCACATCCTTGTCTCGAGGATTTACCGACTTCCGCTTTCGTAGCAGCGTCAAACATTCAGTGGTGGAGCTTATCACCTGCATCGTAATCAAGTAATTAAGCAGAGTTTGTAGATTGGTCGACCAGCGTCGGTTTCTGAATCATACGCCAATCTCGACAACTTTCCTTGAGGTATCCGATGGCCTTGTTGATCAGCTTTGGGACACACTTGACTGTTCAAAGTTCGTGTCAACAGTTTGTTAGAATTCTTGAATAGGGATGAGGGAAGAAGGGACTTAACAACCTTGGTAATGTGGTCGAGATTCTCGAGCGAGATTTTGGCAATGATCGTGTGCTCTTCAACAGAGTAAACGCCGTTTTCTGGGAGTCCTCGTCCTTCGCCGTGGCAAATCGAGTCTTGAGCGAGGGCGAGAGCTTCGTTTGCTACAGCCATAAGCTCATGCGCAACACGGTCAATGTTGCAGTGGTCGACGAAGGATGAGAAGTAGTTGCCAGAATTCAGCTTCTCTCTCTTGGCTTTCACCGTGAGCTCCTCTTCTTCCCCCTCTTCACAAGCATCCACCACGCGTTGGTGAAAATTTCTATGACATCCACATGGGGGACATGTGAGTGCAAGCTTTTCGTCTTTCCCTGCATCGAGCGGGAGGACAACTAAGTGAGCCTTTCCAGTTATGTTTGCACGATTATTTCTCCAAACTTTGATGAAATCGATCCAGTAGTTGTAAATTAAAGTCTGACCGAAAACTTTTCAGACTTTGCTAATGCTATCAGTTCATGGATTTTGATAGCTTGAAAACCGTTTTCATCTCGCTCACTCCATCCCAAAAGGACTCAAGTGGGAAATCATGTTTCTCTGAAACTCAAATTTGTTCCAAGCGATGCAGACAGTGTGCAAGATTATCTCGTACTTGAATGGTTTTCAAAGTAGTAATCACGTATATTCCCTGTGTATTTTTTTGTGTCAACGGCGTAGGACGAACAGTGTGGGAAAAGCTGTTCAGCAGCACAAGATCTGAAGTTAACCCTCGAGTGCACACTAACCTGACGATAGAAATTTTGTAAACCGATCAACTGAAGAAGGTCCACGAGCAACACAGGTGTTCTTCTGGCACTGTGCGTAAGGGTCGCAATCACGTGAGACTCCTTTGAGGCCTGCCTCCCTCAAATCCAGTCCATCCAGATCCTCCGGGTGATTTCTCCGCCGCAAGTCGATCCCCACCATGTTGCACTCGTCGATCATATCCCGGCTGAATTCCTGCAACCGGTGCTCATTACTACGGTCCCCCTGACTGCAAAGATCGTTCACTCGGTTAGATAACTCCTCTTCCTGCACAACATTGAATTGTGCATGAGGGTCGCCTTCATTCTGCGAGGTTGCTGCCTCCTCCCACCTACCAAGACCAGCCTCGCTGCCATCAAATCACCACCACTCATCAATATAAAGTTCCTTTAAATGAAAATGAAGAGAATTCGGCGGCTATGTTCACATGAATCTGTCATGAGTTACAATGAGAGGTATTTAATCCACACATGCATACCCCTGTCGGCCTTCAACGGATCCGTCGACATCTTCACTCTCCCCCACGCCAATTCTGAAGCTTTTCCCAAGAAGATACGACGAACCTTTGAAATCGTTCATCATAGCAGAATCGCAGGGGCAGCTCATGTGATGACCCAATCTTCCACCAATCACTCCCCTGCGAAATGCTTTGCTCTCAGAGTTGGTGCGACTGGCGCCCGTCAGATCTCTCCAACTCCGCACGTCGCCCGCCTTCGGAAACTGCAACATCTGATCCAGCGCGTCGTTACCATGAATCACAGATCCACACAGGTCGATTCCGCCCTCCACGCAATGTTTGTTTGCATGGTCCGCGACACCCACCCCCGGGGGCCAGAACTCCATCCGCCCCGCGACGTCGCCACCCTGCTGATCCGCCCCACTGTCGCTGCTCACCGTAGGCAGCATCCCATCCTGAACCTTATACGCTTTAACCTCATTGGTGTGCACTTCGCAGTGGTTATACCTCGAGATGTCCATGCCCATGAGAAGAAGCGCGCTGGGCTCCTATCCCTATTGCTAGAAACAAAATCGATCGCGAGATCGGTCATCTACGGGATTCCGATTCGACGGCGTCCCCGCAGACTGATTTCTGCGAAACCAGGGTCACCGAGTAGCCATCGATGCGGGATCCTTTTGCGATGAAAGCGGCGAAATGAAGAGGCGAAGCCGTCAGTAAGGGATCGATTGGGCATGGATGGGGATTGCGATGGCGGGGGCGTGGCGATTGTGCCAGTGGATCTCAATGTCAGCCGGACTCGTCGCCGCCAACTGTCAACGAAGTCGGCCGAACTGACCCAACTGTCAATACGCCGCCTTTAGGATGAATGTCATACCCTTAATACATCATCCATATATTGTGCAGTATTCATTCATTGATTCCCTTTTATTCATCCATTTTTCGTGCGAGCTTCATTCATCTGAAGTTTGACGGTCCTCGCCTACACTTTAGCTTTGTTTCACTTTTACATCGTTATTCCATATTTTGAAAAACTTTAAAGGATGTGACTCATTCTCTTGGATACATGCATTTGTTGATTGGTGGGATGTTTTCCTTTCTTCTTCTTATTATGTAACAAAAAAAATAAAATAAAAATAAAATTAAAATTGGTTATTCATGTTCTATGCAGTGTTGAATGTGTATTTAAATGATGGATTTTTATTGCTTGCAGAAATGCAGTTAAATTTTAATTAGAGAAATTAAACTGACTTCATTAAGTTAGATTGATGCATTTTTAAACATGTAATTAATGAATAAATTGACTTTTTTAAAGTTATATTTGAAGGTAGAAACTATGCATGAATTTAAATTTATAAATATTTACAAAAAATATTCAACATTGTAGTCTGATTATTAAATTTTTTTTGCAATAGTCTGTATATGAATGTGTGTATATACATCTATATCTATATACCTATATAATACATTATTCATTTATTATTGTAAATAATTTTCAAAATTTGTTACATTATTTGAATACGATTTCCTAATGTGTGTATATGTATGTGTGTGTTTATGTTAAATATATTGTGTATTTATCTATTTTTTAAAAAATTATTATAAATTTATTGTATAAATTTAGAAAAATACTTAACTTGCACAATTTATTATGATTATTATTAAATATTAAATTTAATTTTTGTAAACAAACCTTGAACATAAATGTGCATAAAAAAACATCAACAATGAAATTGAATCATAAATATGAATAATTGTATAGATTATAGAATATATAATGCTATTTTGTTATATAATATGTAATATTATGTAGATTAATCTAAACTATAGATACATAATATTTATATTAGTCTATATAAATCAAATTATTTTTTAAAAAATACAAAACTATAAATACAATATATATATATATATATATATATATATATATATAAATATTCAATATACAAAAATAAGCTTTGTATGATAAAAGATATTCAATTTGATATCTTAATATAATAAATAATTTATTTTAAATAAAAATATATTATAAAATTAATTCTAATTAAATCACAATATTATATAAATAATTTTAAAACGTCTTCATATTGATTTAAATAGCTATCAAATTTATAATCTAGAACATGATCAAATAAGCCTTAATTAAATCTATCATATTATTCCTTATCTACCATCTATAACCTACAAATTTTACAATCAATGGCTAACTAGAGTATGATAAATTGTATTCAATTAAGTAAAATTAATATTCAACTTCAATAATGTGGTACAAGAATACAAAATATCAAACTATAATTTGATGTAAATTTTAGATGATATTTTTTGTGTTTTAAATATAATAAATCAAATTCTAGTTTTTTTTTTTGTAAAATATATTACAAATTTAATGTAAATTATAAAATTAAGATATTTCATAATGTTCTAATTAGATTAGATTTTTTGATTATTAAAATGTATTAAATGTATCATTATAAAAAATAAATCTACATAAAAATCAAATAAAAACATATCCACCAATTTATTTTAAAAACATAGTTAATTTACTATATATATATATATATATATATATATATAGAGAGAGAGAGAGAGAGAGAGATAGATAGATAATAAAATAATACAAAAGAGCATGGATACATATATAATCTATATGTAATAGAACATGGATAAGATAATTGTACTGTTGACGCATAGAAATAGGTAATTGAGGCCATTTTTTAAAAGTTTTTAGAAGTTTTTAGAATTCGGACTAAGTTAGTGGTTTACATTGGATCCACTACAGAATATCTTAGAAGAATTAATGGCAATTATCTAGATAGAACCAACCTCTAGAATCTTCTAAAAAGGTGGTTATTTTGGTGGGGCCTACTATTAGTAATATTCTAAAAAGTTCAAAGATAGTTAGATAAAATATACATGGAACTGACCAAAGCTATTTGAGACATTTGATTAGATATAGCTTTGATTTTTTTCTCTCAATAAAATTTAAATTATATTTATTGTTTTGTTTTGTTTTATTTCTTTTTGCTTTGTTGCAGTGATGACACTTTTATGTTATATTCTATATAGTTTTGTTCAGTTTTGTTCTGATTCATGTTGCCTTATTTTGTGATAAGATTTATGTTGTTGTAGACTAAAAGGGTTTTAGATCTTTATGAAAATTTAGTCTTATTCTTATAGTATCAGAGCAAGTATTAATTTGTTCTTTCATAGTGTATTGATAGCTACTGTTCAGTTAGAGGTCGATTGTTGTGGTCACATTGGTTATTGTTTTGGAGCTACCACAAACTACTTTTAAAAAGTCAATTGGAAGGATAAAAGATGTTACGATAATAAAGTTTGGCAAAGAAATTGCAGCATAGGTGATATAGTAGAGCCATATTGGATGTAGGCCTAGGTACTATACCTTCTAGATATCTACTCTGTAAGAATAAATAAAAGTTTCTAGGATAAGAAAGTTAACATCTACTAGATTGAAATTAAACAAGCCCGAATCATATTTTGGAACTTCAAGACAAGAAGATGTATGCCAATAGCTCTTCAAGGAGTGACTATATTTCCAATTATCTAAGATAAGCACTACTCAAAGAATTATATATACAGCTAGCTATTTGAAAGATGTGACAACCATTTAGTAGTGACATTGAGCTCAAAACTATAGAGCTCAAGGTAGATTTTGTAACTGAAAGGAGTTTGAGATCAAACTTAGGAATAATATTTGGTCTATCAATGCGAAGAAGTTAGCACATTATCAATTAGCTAACATTCTACAATATATGTTAGTGCAACATTATGTCTCTCAATTTAAGTCCCTATATCTTCAAATTGAAAATATTTCAAAAATAGAGATGATGGATTGATTTGTACAAGGCTTGAAAGCTAAAGTTCAGAGAAAGGTAGAATTAAGGGATTTGCAAACATTTGAGGAGGTAATTAGGATTGCAAAAAGAATTGATGCTATAAATTTCAAAAATCGTAGAGCACAACATGTAGGACAAAATCCTATGCTACTATCTAATATTATAGTACAAGAACCAATGCCAATGGATATTGATGCCTTATAAGGACCATTGATACAATAGAGATGACAAATATTGGCACAAAAGGAATTGTCTTATTACTGTTGGAAGTCAATCTATTAAATTAGAAATTGTTCGAAGTGTCAGAATTCAAGTACCAACAAATCAAGGTGGATTCACAATCTCAAGGTTCACCTAGATGATATATAAGTAGAGCAAAGAAACAAGACTCTTCTATAAAAGCACCAAAGATTAATACTGGGGATAATTGTTGTCTCTCAAAGAGAAATGGCATGACCTTCGATAGCTATCAAAAAGGTCGATTGGTATATTTAACGGATTGACTTAGAGAACAAACATATCAATACTTATAGATTATGGCTCTATAAAAAATTGCATCTTGACTGAGATTGCTGATTGACTTGGAATTAAAACCAAGGTGATCAAAAGAAGAAGTATACATCTATTTGATGACTAAGAGAACATATTAAATAAAACATGTGAAGAAGAAATCTTGAGATTGAATGATACTTCTACCTTGAGAGAGAAGTTTAAGAAAACAAAGCTTAGATATGTCGTTATCTTTGGCATGCCATGGCTAAAAGTTAAAAATAAGTAAGTTGATTGGCTAACAAGGACGATTTCCTTCAAAGATAATAGACGCAAGGTGATTCTTTGTGCCTTTACATCAAGTGGAGTAACAAAATAATTTGTGACTAAAAGCTTATTTTTAAGAATATTTTTTATGAAGAAAAAAAAACAACATTAGTAATCATTACATATGGTGGTTCCAAATCTGGTCTTCATGGTAGGAAAGACAGTCAAAGGAGTATAATAGGTAGAGCAATTCATATATGGATATGGAGATGTTTTTTGAATTGACTTACTTAATGGCATGCTACTTGATCGAGGTACCTCCTTTCAAATAGAATTATTGCCTAGGACTAAATTGGAAAGTTGGCTAATTTATTACCTAATATCAAATGAACTTAAACATTTGCAAAGGATATTAGAAGAATTTTTAGAAAAGGATCTTATTTGAGAAAGTACATCACCATTGGGAACACATGTATTCTTTGCATCCAAAAAGGATGGTGGACTTCAGCTTTATATTGATTATTGAGGCCTCAATAAGTAGACTGTTAAGAATACATATCCACTTTCATGTTTAGATGATCTTTTTGACCAACTTTGAGGTGCAACCGTTTTAGCAAATTGGATCTTTGAAGTGGCTATTGGCAAGTACCTATTGCTAAGGAGGATAAAAAAAAAAGATGGTATTTTTTATGTGCTATGGACATTTTGAATGGCTTATTTTATCTTTTGGAATCACCAATACTCCAATCTCTTTTAAAATTCACATGAACAGATTGATTTGGGACCTTTTGAATAAGTATGTAGTTATCTTCATTAATGATATCCTAGCCTATAGTAAAATCCTTAAAGAGCATGAAAAATACTTATGGAAAGTGTTGCATCAGCTATGAAATAGTCTCTCTTATTACAAGCAATCAAAATATGAACTTTGAAAGTCAAAGATCATCTTTTAGGGCATTTAGTGTCCTTCAAGGATTTATACATAGAGTAGGATAAGGTGAGAGTAATGGTAGATTGGCCAATCCACAAAGATGTTATTGAAGTTTGTTCATTTTTAGGCCTTGTCAAATATTATTGCAATTTTGTTTGGCAATTTGCATATATTGTTGTCTCAATGACAAGTCTATTTTAGAAGTATGATCCATTTGAATGGAAATGGAGCAGCAAAATGCCTTTGATAAGTTGAAGGA